CCGCAAATTGCCTGTAAATGGGCAGAAGTCGTCAATAACAATGGAAATTATTTGAATGAATTTATGGTTTTACGTTCAATCAATTTGCCTTTCTTTCGTCCGCCGAGTCATAGTCCCGAACCCAATACATGACTATTGCGTCACAGCGAGTACCGTACGTCCTTCTCTAATAGTAGTGCACAGCACCGAGCCGAGTTGATGCCTATTTTATGGTTTCTAATTTTTCCCAGAAGATCAACACTTTAATCTCCCACAAGATCTTATTGTCAGCTACATTTTCCGACCCCACATCGATAGGTTGTGATAAGCGGCTTTTGTGATTTCGAGGAATTTAAACGACGATCAAGGTGTACTACTATTAGAGAAAATACGGTAACAACTTTAATCAAACAAACAAAAACAACAAATAAAAAAAACAAAGAGCACTTTTTTGTTGGGATTTTATGAATCAAATAGTTTTTAGAATCGTTAATCAGTCAAAAAAGAAAAACCATAAGTTTTTTTGTAAAAACGTCTCTTTGAGTCGGTTTAATAACCCAAGTCGACTAAAGCCATAGCCAGAGCGATGTGCCAAATGCCGATTTTCTTAGCGATATAAAAAGAAAGCACAACTCGATCGTTTAGAAAGCACAACTCGATCGTTTAGAAAGCACAACTCGATCGTTTAGAAAGCACAACTCGATCGTTTAGAAAGCACAACTCGATCGAACGCACAACTCGATCGTTTAGTCATTCCTGGTTTCAGTAATTTAGTATAATTTTTAAAAAATAAAAGAAAAAAATAGAATTTTGTTGATTTTGTGGTTTCTTTTACGCATTTTCAAATACAATTTCAGGCATAGTGGACACAATGGCGCCAAATGATTGTCGAGTCATCAAGTGATAAGAATTCAAGTGGAGGAATTCAAAGACAGAAAATTACAACCATTTTAAATTCCCGCAACTTAACGTCAAATGATTGTTTTACTAAAGTATTAGTTTTTCTCCAAGTTAAGATCTCTTTAGAGGATGAGCGACTTTAGCTCGTCGCTCAACATGGCCGGACTGCTCTTGGTCGCAAAACAACTAGCTGAATTTGACATGAAAGAGGTGAGCTGTTTGTTTACATCAAAAATGTTAATCTTTCGAGTAGTAATGTGTGTACAAATCTGGTAAAAGATTGATCGTTGGATAGTTAACTTCATCTTAACACTGCTATCGGTACGGACCCGATCTGCTATTAGTAGAAAGTTGAGCCTAATCACCAGCGATACTTACTTTCTGAGCACATACTTGTATTCTGAATCCATAGCACGGTAGAGTTTTAAAGTAATAGCTTTGGATACTGTTTTGCAACTCTTCACAAATGATTTGACAAATGATCAAAGATATTCTTTGGTCACAAATAGAAAAGTGATATCAAATTTTTTGACGCGTTGCTGGCTTTAGAGTAAGCTAAACTGTAAATAAACTCCCCCGAAAGCAAACGAAGAAAGGACGAAGAATTATTGTCGCGTTGCGGGGATCGCGGAGAAGTGGAAAATCCAATTTCCAGTAGGTTTTTGAAAAAAGTTCCGGGGAGTGAAAACGAAGCATCATTCCCGCAGTAATCCTTTTACTACAACCAAGAAAAAAACGATATGCAGGTTTGGAGTGAAAAAACAAAAGAGGCCAAGATAACCACAAAGGTGAAGCGGAAAGGGGAAAAAAGCGAAGAAATGAACTTGAACTGCCAATACTGGAGAGAAATAGCTGGTTCATTGAGTTATAGGGATCAAGTATTTAGCAACTTTTAGCACATAAAACCACAGCACAGCAGTGTACTGTTTGTGCTCAAAATACTAAACACACCCTTTTTGTGCGCCCTGTTCGCTTATTTTTCCCCATTTGCAACGCTAATGTTTGCAAAGGGAAAATGCTACAGTTGGCTGCTTTTTTGAGCGTACTTTTTTTCCAACTGAATTTTTAAGATACCAGTGGCTTGGCGTGATTTCGACGCTGACCGATATGATCTCCATTCTCTCGAATCGGCCCGTTCGACACCCGCAACGCATCTCGGATGTCGCATCACGTCGGCGCTCGGCGGCTCACTCGGATCTGGAAAACATTATGGTTGGTGATTGGGAATGGAATGCCACTAAAATAAAAAAGCGTTGCAGTGCCCCAAACTGGTCTAACACTACCGAGATGCTCAATCGGATATTAGGACTGCGAATATGCGGGCAAGAGAGAGATCCCGTGGAGCCGGCCGGCGTAAAAGCCAGCCAGCCAGGCAGAAAAAAAACAAAAGAGTCAAAAACAAATAACGGTCCTATTTTCTACCACGGACTTTAGCTGGCTTTCTGACATGTACCCACTAGACGGTTTCGGTTTTCGGTGGCTTTCAACCAAAATCGCGTTTGCGCTGGCTGGCGAAAACAACAGCAAAGAGTGCAACAACGGTTAAATGTTGTAATCACCCTTGTCTCCGTTCCACCATTCAAACAGATTATTGGCGGGAAAAAGAACCCCATTGGTTGTCCAGGAGGCTATGCTTGGACAAAAATAGCCAAACTTTTGACTTGTCCTTGGCTGAAACTACAGATCCTGGCTACAGACTACATCCCAAAGTTGAAATGATTAAATAAAGGAAATGCTCAGATTGAATAGCCCGATTACGGGAGCGATCTTCCAACACAAGATCGGCCGAATTTTTGATGATCTTGACGAAAATGCTGAATTTTGGGTAGTAGAAATAAACAAACAACCCCCAAAAATCAGTTTAGCAAGTAAATGAGCAATGGATCATCGTTTGGTGTACCCGGATTATCGTTGTCATCAATGCGAGGGACATCATTGGATCCAAAAAAATCCATGGGTTTGTAATTTGAAAAACCTGAGTACACTTGTTTAAGGTTTTTCTTTTTCCCACACATCATTTCGCTTTTACAATTTCGGCCGAGTTGAAATTACGAAATATCCAAGGCTCCGAGTCAAAGTCAAGGGATGGTTTCGTTGCTCGTATTGCAAAGCAGAAATGGAAGAGTCAAGAAGTGAGCTTTAGGCTTTGGCACCAGCTTTGGCACAGCAGCTGGCACTTTGTGGCTTCCCCCCGGCTTTGGCTTTGCGGATGGCTTTGTGGCTTTTGGCTTTGGCTTTGGCTTTTTTTTTCAGGCTTTTGCCCTAGCTTTGGCTTTTCTGGCTTTCCTACGGCTTTGGCACTCCGAATGGGCTGTAGCAAAAATAAATCAATTCTAAGAGTTCCTTAACAGCCTTTTTCAGGTCTGGGCAAGTACATCTCAAATTTGTCATAACCGCTGCCGCAACCCCCCATCCGTACGAGGATGAAACCTCTTAGCCCCCAGAGTTAGGCTAAAATTTTAAAGTTTGTAATCTTTTAAAGATTCGTCTTGTTATTACACAAGTTTTTTCTTTTGTATTTTCTTTGTTATTTTATTTTGTCAGCTCAAAAAACGTCGAGGATTTTAAATAAAAAATTTTTATATTTTAAATAAAATGAAAGCCAAGATGAAATAAATCGATTGCCAATAAATGTTTATAAATGAAAATAAAATCAAATAAAATCAAAATCTCATTTTAAAAGAAGCTTTTGAAATCATTTTTGTATTTTGCATGCTTACACCGGTTTTGAAGAGAGCGTGCCGGTGGTGAGACAGTGATACTGCCCCCAGTGCCATATCTACCAATGGAGGCTTGTAAACAGAGAGGAAAAGTGGGGTTTTCGTTGTCAAGTCTGATGATGGCATGTTATAGAAAAAACATCATGTCTAGTCTTAGATTTGAGTCACCGGTACTTGGTGCTGCCAGGAACAGTACAACCTCCTCATCGCAACAAAAAAGTAATTTCCAGCACATGAAAGAACTGGAGAATGTTTGAAAGATTTGCTTTCGGCTGGCTCACCCTGCACACTCGAACGAAGCATAACAGGTACACTCAATGGCGAAAGGTCAGGTACTAATGATGGTTACAATAGGAATGGTTGAGCTCAGTGATGTGGTTGGGAATGGCTGAGCTCAGTGATGGATGCAGAATAGCTGTTGATATTAGTGATGGATACGGAATGGCTGAGCTAGTGATGGATTACGGAATGGCTGAGCTAGTGATGGATTCTGAATGGCTGAGCTAGTGATGGATACGGAATGGCTGTGATAGTCCCCATTAGGAATGGCTGAGCTAGTGATGGATACGGAGGTGTGGATATTGCCAAAAGCAAACAAAGTTTTTGTGTTTTCATAATCACCTGAACTGAAGCCGATTTGGCTACGCGCGCTGGTGCTTTCTTTCGATAGCCCTGATTAATGGCTCAAAGTGTAACCAGGTGGTCGATGAGCGACGAAAAAACACAAAAAAAAAAAATCTCATAGCGGGGACATGAAAGTCTCTCTCGACTGACCTGTTGACTCGAGAACAAATTCCCGTGGCTACCATTTCCAGTTCACCGTTGTCCGAAAGCGCAAAATCGACCTAGGGTATGAATTTGAAAGGTACAAAAAGTAGTAAAAATTGTTTTACTTGGGGAACAGCACTTTCTATACTTGTCACGTGTAAGAACTCGGCGTGAAAGAGAGTTGACTGAAGGGTCCCTGTTTGAATTTTACATGATGATTTACACCTAAATGGATAAATTAAATGAAAATAAAATGTTCTGAAGAAATCTTAGTTTTACAATAAATCGGTTAATCCCCAGCATGAGATCAACAAAGAGATCTCGTGGACATACAGCCCATCTGTAGAAAAGATCCCGCGAGATCTTGTAAGAGATCTAACCAAGATCCCCCGGCACCTTTTCAACTCACATTCCGAACCGCGACCCGCGGCACAGCTCATTCAGCTTGTTCTCCGGCCACGGCTGAATAATCACAGCCTAGATCTCGCTTCTTTTCAACTCGACATTCTGAACGATGACAAACTCGCACAGCTCATTCAACTTGTTCTCGGCTAGATACTCACCATTTGAAATTCAGATTTGAATCGGCTTCATTGCCCGAGCCAAAAGCAGATCTTCAATAAGAGAGTTTCCAACTAATTTCAATTTCGTTTTTCTCCAACGGAAGCTCTTGGCTAATTGTTCTGATATTTTGCTTATAGAAGCTGTAAAAAGCTCGGGGAAGCCCCCGCTAAGAGGCGTTGCGTAGTCTAGAGTGACACTCAAATAAAGGTTCACTTATCTCAGCACCCGTACGTTTGTTTCTAGGCGTTTCGTTACACAATTAAAGTAAGAAAATGGGTATTTTATGAGATATAACAAATATTTTTAACATTAACCAGTGCTTAGAAAAATGATTTAAAAATGATGAAAAATCAGCTTTTTTTGCCACTTTCAATCATTTTTTCTAAGCTCCGGTTGAAAGTTAAAAATATTTATTAAGAAAAATTTTCACCATCCCTGTTCTTAAAAAGAAAAATTCACAAAAAATAAAAATACTGGTGTCAAAATCTGAGCAGTTCTTTGAGTGTAAGCCACGACATCCCCTAGCGGGGTCTTTTTTTTTTTTTTTTTTTTTTTTTTCGCCATTCTATTAGTTTGTAGATGGAATTTTCACAGGCAATCGGGAAAAAAACGGCTGAGGGAAAAAATGGAGGGGTACGGGTGAATTTTCCCACGTAATGTCTGGTTCCAAACGGATAAAAGGATCTCAAACGAGGCTAGATCGAGACCCGGCTTCTGCTTCCAACTTACGATCGGAAGTCAGTAGTAAAAAAGGAAACTAAAAAGACAAAAACAGAGCTGGGGAAACGGTGGCACCCCCATTTTTGTGCTTTGAGTGTTAATCCATCGCTTTCTTTCCCGCTGGGACTTGTACCAAAACTCACTTGGAAACCGGATCGCCGCTACCATAGTTGAAAATGCAATACTGAGATGGGATTGGCAAGTATCATTCAGCAAAAGATCCGAGGCGAATTTGGATCCAATCTACACGTAGCGCAGGGAATTTCCCAATATTGCCCCGCAGAACTGGATTTTATTGAGCAAAACAAAAAAATTACCAGGTGATTGCCAAGAAGCGGTGCCTGCTGCCCTTTCAAGTTGACGGTGGGTTGATGCCAGAAATGCAAATATAAACTTCCTAGTTTTTTTTGGGAGTTTTGTTTTCTTGAACAAGTCTAGATTGGAGTACAAAGAGCATATTTTCAGATAATAGTTTAATGGTTTAATTTTTCAATGTGAAGAGGAAACTATTTTTGTTACACAGTTTAGCCAGGGGTATAGTATAGGAAAAAGAACTGTAAAAGCTACAGTAATCTTTTTCTAATTTAAGACAACTACAGCTAACCTTTCTAATTTTGGGACAGCTTCCGTGGTCTTTTTCTAATTTTAAGACGGCTACAGTAAACTCCAATTTAAGACGGCTACATTGATCTTTTCTAATTTAAGACAGCTTGAGACTCTGTCTACAGTAATCCCTCCCCAGATCAAACTTTTAAGAAAGCAACTTACCTATCGTCAGGGAAAGGACGGATAGGTAAGCGATAATGAAATTCAGTGTTGATTTAAAACTTTACCCGAATTATATCAATGAGTGTTGTTGCGTGTATATCGTGCATTGTAAGCAATTCACCAGAATTCTTCTTTACCATGTCTTCAAGTAAAGTACCGCTAAATGATTTTTTTTTTTGAATTAGAAAATCAAATAAAATTACCGTAGTTGTTTTGGCACAGAGAAAGCAACAAATTGTTACTCACAAAAATTTCCTACCAGATTAGTATCGATGACCTGAGGATTGTTTGATTGCGGGAAACTACCCCAGCAACTGTAGCCAGGTTTTTTACTGCAGTCAGGCTTTGTACTGTAGGCTTGAACTGTGAGGCTTGTACTGTAGGCTTTGTGTTAGCAGATTTGCACTGGAAGGCGGGGGGACTATGAGGCTTGCTATAGAGAGGCTTGTACTGTCGGGGCAAGAGCTTATACTGTAGAGAGAAACTTCTGTACTGAAGGAAAAACACTGTAAGCTTGTATTGTAGGCTTGTACTGTAGGTGAAAGTGTACTTTAACCAGATCTACTGTACTGTAGCCAGATTTATTGTACTCTATCCAGATCTACTGTACTGTAGCCACCAAATAAGGTTTTGGTTTGGATAAAAGTAAAACCAACCTTTCCTTCCCTTTGCCCATGATCCCTCAGCTAACAATCACAAAGGCATCATATCAGCGAAAAGAATCTTTGAACTCTTGAGATGAGATCTAACCTCTTTCTTGTTATCCCGAAGAGAATTGCTTGTAGTATTTGTCAAGTGTTGCGTGGAAAGCTCTCTCGTCAGCATTGCTGCCTCATTTGTCCACAGAATCCCGAACTTTGGAATTCCTAATAAAGTTTGATTGGACTAATGAATCTTGAGAAAAACTCAAATCGCATTATTTTCGAAGTTTAGCTACTGTGACATAATAGCTTAACAGGATGCGGAAGTGGCAAAAATACAGGAAAATTTCGGCAAAAACTGATCCCAAATACCAAGACGTTTTACCAGATGGAAAGCGGTTAAGCGGCCGTACAAAGAACATTTCTCCGGTCATTTACACATTTCTTCTTTTACTTTGTACAAAAAAGATATTCAGTTATGAATTTGTGGGTTTTCGGGAACAGGCATTTGGTTGGAGATGTTCATTTGATGGAGATGTTCATTTGATTGGAGATGTTTATTTGATGGAGATGTTCATTTGATTGGAGATGTTTATTTGATGGAGATGTTCATTTGATTGGAGATGTTTATTTGATGGAGATGTTCATTTGATTGGAGATGTTTATTTGATGGAGATGTTTATTTGATTGGAGATGTTTATTTGATGGAGATGTCCATTTGATTGGAGATGTTTATTTGATGGAGATGTTTATTTGATGGAGATGTTCATTTGATTGGAGATGTTTATTTGATGGAGATGTTTATTTGATTGGAGATGTTCATTTGATTGGAGATGTTTATTTGATGGAGATGTTTATTTGATTGGAGATGTTTATTTGATGGAGATGTTCATTTGATTGGAGATGTTCATTTGATTGAGTCTATCAATCTATCAATTGAAACTCCCATTTAACTAGCTTAAACTCTTAAAGAAACTCGAAAACTTATTGACCGATCTTCTCGGAAAAAAATGAACTCTGGATGAACTCTAAACTCTGGATCCGCCTAGATCTGCTTGACTCTAAACTTTCTAGTTCTAGAAACTTGTTCGAATGTTTCTAGATCGCTTTAGAACAACGTTGACTACAAATACAAATAGGCCTAAAAATAAGAATATCAATAAAATAAGAATCTACCTTTGTATGAGTTCATGAATTCCTCAGTGTAGCGTATCATGTGATTATAGTTTTGGCCACATTTCGTTTTGTTGCGTAGATGTTTCCGAAGAAGTTTCTCATTTTGATACTGATATCCGTATTGGACGAATGGGCTCAAAAAAATTGGTTATCTTCAAAACAACTTTCAACTCACACATCGATCCAAACTTCTTCAGGCAAAATGGAGAGCAGTTGGAATGGTCTGAAAGAATGTTTTAGCTGTTTTAGGCTATAGTTTTAACTGCGGGTTACGGTAGTTTTTGTAGCTACAATATCCGTTTATCAAAGCTACAATAACCAATAATCTATCAAAGTTACAATAATCTATCAAACCTCGAATGATGCGTGGCCAAATCATTTACCATTCCCACACAATCGACATACATGTACAAATCAAGAAGGTAATCGTACGCGTACATCGTTCGATAGCCGGCATCCTGGAATCGTTTGAAAAAGAAACTTTAGGTAAAAAACCTCATATTCGAATTGAATATAATGACGATTATCATATGGATATCCACATGTTGAAGTTTTCTCAATCACTGTGCCACCAAAAGCTTTTCGATCAACTTTCTCCCCAATGATTCCTAAACTTTATACTTTTTTAATTCAATTTTTTGAAAAATCAAGTCACAAGAGCTCCCATCAGCTCTCAAAAATGAAGAGCTCCCATCAGCTCCCATCAGCTCCCAAAAACGAAGAGCTCCCATCAGCACAAGAGCTCCCCATCAGCTCTTAACAAACCCCAGAAAGCAGCGAATGCATTTTCTCGACTACTGTAGGCGACACGTTGAAATTTCTTGAAATCGATTGCCCCAAGCTCGTCAACAAGGTATTTGTAAGTCTTTTTGAGTTGTCTGAAATGAAAAACAGTTATTTCTCTTAAATTTGAATTTATCAAGAACTAGCTACTATAGCTAAGCATTGCTCAACCTCATTGCCGGATTTCTGCCAGCTGAATCGAGGACAATGATGTAGAGATTTGGATGGAAACCTTTTGAAGTAACTTGGCTCTGTAGTGGAATCGAATGGCCATTGTATAAGCCACGAAACTCTTCAGCTCGATTTCTTCTAAAATAAGTAAGCTAAAGAATGGTAAAAAAAGAAAGGAAGGATTTTCGGAGAAATTCGGCTCTTCAGCTCGATTTCTTCAAAAAAAAGTAAGCTTAAAAATGACAAAGAAAGAAAGGAAGGATTTCCAGAGAAAGATTTCCAAAGAAAAATTGAACCCTTGACCTCTGTCCCCTTCTTCCTTTCCGAGAAAATGCTCTAACTGCTGAGCTCGAGAAGAGAAGGAAGAGAAAGAAGAGAAAGTACAATGAGGAAGAAAGGAAAGAAAGAAAGAAATAAAGAAAGAAAGAAAGGAAGAAAGAAAGGAAAGAAAAGAAAGAGAAGACTTTGTTAACCTGTGTTCATAAATTTGCAAATGCACATCGATATGCACTAATTCTTCACCCAGCCAACAGTTGATGTAAACGAAATCGCAGTTAAACTTTTTACAATCACTTCCAACAGTGCACCATGATCCAAATTTATATTCGTAACCACCATCAAGATAAGCGCATCTGAAATTTAAAGAAAATGATTTAATTCAAAGTCAATCATCGTGTAATTCAATCACCAACCTTGCTTTACATTTGTATTTTTGATAATTCAAATATTCAGTGTTCATTTTCACTTCTCCCCTCAAAAGTAAAGTGATTCCATTCTCACGATGGCATAGAGCTAAAGAAAAATTAAATATTTTGATTTCTATTCAAAGATTAACAAACGTTCTTCTTTAGTTGGCGGCAATAGCTTTAAAATCTCCGGATCATCCCATTTATAATTGTAATTGGGACAACTTTCAAAGATATGACTCGAGAAGAGAACTGAAAAATGATAATGACAATCAAATCCTATTGTCGTAATATTTAGTGTCTAGTAATTTTGTAATATGTAATGTCTAGTAATTCTAACTCAAATCCAGCTCTCACCTTCTGCTTTCTGCTCAACTAATACCGTATTTTCTCTAATAGTAGTGCACCCCGGTGAGCTGAGTTGGCGACGATTTTACGGTTTCAGAGCTTTTGCAGAAGCTCAACACTCTAATCCCCCACTAGATCTGATCGTCAGCTACATTTTCCGACCCCACATCGATAGGTTCTGATAAGCGCTTTTCGAGATTTCGAAGAATTTAGGCGACACTCAGGGTGCACTACTATTAGAGAAAATACGGTAATTCTAACTCAAATCCAGCGCTCACATTCTGCTTTCTGCTCAACTAATAATTCTAACTCAAATCCAGCGCTCACCTTCTGCTTTTTCATTCACTCTTTGCTTTGGTTCTTCACTAGAAATCCAATAAAACGTTAAACAAATTAGTGAAATCAAAATTGCGAAAATCAGTCTACATGAACGAATCTATAAATCAAAATTGATCAAATCAAAAAAATTGAAAATCATTTTTTTATTGAAAAACCTACATTTCTCGAGACAAATAGATGATACTTCATATAGATACAAAATTTAAATTTAATTTATGAATTTTAAAAAGATTCCAATGTTTTTATGGAATGAAAAAAGAGAAAACGATGAAAACAATCAGAAGATTCAATCGATTTTGTGAAAGGAAAGATAAGAAATGACAAAAAAAGAGAAGAAGAAAGAGAAAAGGAAAAAGAAAAGCAAAGAGAAAAGTGGCCATTTAGATCGATTTTAGGGAAATTTGTCTAGAAATCTATTCCCTAAATATTTTCTTTTTTTTTGTGAATTGAAACGAATTTTCCTTAAGCTTCTAAAGCTTTTGAAGAAGATTTTTCTCTCAATTCTAGACCGATTCAACTTGTTCATCGATCTGTTTATTTTGATTTTGAATTGATCATATGAAAGCTGAAAAGAAACATTAGCTTTCTTACTATTCGTAGAAAATGTCTTGTTTCTTTGTACAGACAAGATTAAAATAAAAATAATACAGAAAAGAATCGAATTTTGATTTGATTCTCTATACAAACAAGATTAAAATAAAAATAATACAGTAAAGAATCAAGTTTTTAATTTGATCCTTCATACAAACGAGATTAAAATAAAAAAAATACAGAAAAGAATCAAATTTTGATTTGATTCTTTATAAAAACAAGATTAAAACAAAAAAAAATAAAGAAAAGAATAAAGAAAAGAATAAAGGAAATAATACAAAAAAGAATACAGAAAATAATCAAATCAATATTTCCACTCACAAATCGAGAATTTTTGCTTGACGTTACAGGGTGTCGTTTTCCATCGCGAGAACTTAGAGGAAAGAATTTCGTTTCGATCGGTGACCAACTAAACAATCAGTCAAATTTGATGTTCATTTTGTTCATTCAAGTTGTTAACAGTCTGGGTTTGATCTTACAATCAGCTCGAGTCTCTCTTATCTTGATAAGGCCGTCTTATCTTTCAGATCACCTCTCTGAAAGCTATTTTGTCTCAGCTAACTCACCAAGACGCAATTCTCATTCCCGTTTGTGGTGATCGGCTCTTGTGAGCCCCAATGCGTGTATTTCATCTCGCTACCGTTGTCCCAGTAGAAACGATTGTTCTAAAGCCGTTTCTTTGGTAGAAAATGACAAAAATGTTAAACTAGGTGAAAGCTTAAGTGAGTAAACGAACCATTCTCTGAGCGCCAAGTATCAGATTGCCTGAGGCGAACGTTTTCGACTGTTCGCTGCGAATCAATGCTGAAAAAGAGTTTTTGACTGGTAAAAATGGCTAAAAAGGGAATGACGCCAGTTGCTTCCATCAATACGAAGCTAGGTATATAGTTTTAACAAAGTTTTTTCAAAAATTGATGGAAATTTTCTATGCCAGATTGCTCGCAATGTTTACAGCTAACTTTTACAGAGTCAAAATCAGCATAACCGATTCTACATTCTTTCTAGAATGTAGATCGGGCATTCTAGATCAGGTATTCTAGATCAGGTATTCTAGATCGGGTATTCTAGATCAGGTATTCTAGATCGGGCATTCTAGATCAGGTATTCTAGATCGGGCATTCTAGATCGGGCATTCTAGATCGGGTATTCTAGATCGGGTATTCTAGATCGGGTATTCTAGATCGGGTATTCTATATCGGGCATTTTAGATCGGGCATTTTAGATCGGGCATTCTAGATCGGACATTCTAGATCAGGCATTCTAGATCGGACATTCTAGATCGGACATTCTAGATCAGGCATTCTAGATCGGACATTCTAGATCGGGCATTCTAGATCGGGAATTCTAGATCGGGAATTCTAGATCGGGCAACAAACAATTCTGAACTTCAGAGCTGGTGTCATTCCCTTGTAAGAACGCACATATTAATAAACGATTTTTCGTCTCCCCTTCAACATAAACCATTTTACTGTCCATGTACTGACAAATACGCTTCGCCAGGTCGTAGTCAACATCGTAAATGATCTGGAAAATCAAAATATTAGGTTGGCGGGAAAATGATGCGAATTTTTAACTTGTGCTCTTGGGAAAGTAATGGCTGACAAACAGAGAAAACCGCGATAGTAACAGAGAAACAGAGTGTTTTTGCTTACACAATCATAATATTATTTGCAAACATTTGTTCATTTGTTATCAAAAAATGACGGAACAAAAATTCCTTATTCGAGCTGCTTTACTCTATGACTTTAAGATTGGAAAATCTGTCCGAGAATCGGATAATTCTATTTCAAAGGCCTATGGCAAAAGTAGTATTAGCGAAAGCCAATGTTATCGATAGTTTGAGCGATTTTGTAGTGGAAACGAGAGCCTAGAAGATTAGCATCACGAAGGACGTCCTCGAAAGCTGGATGAGTCTCAATATTTTGCAAATTATCAAAGAAGATCCCACTTGCATCACTCGGGAGTTGTCGGAAATGTTCAGTGTTTATCATACCATCATTGAAGAGCATTTACATTTGATTGGAAAGCGAAAAAGATGCGGAAAATGGATTTCACATGAATCACAAAATTGCCCGTAAAACTTGTTCAATTTTGATTCAAAAATCAAAAGCGCATGATTTTTGGAAATCAATTGTTACTTCTGATGAAACGTGGATATTATATGATAACGTTAAGCGCAAGCACCAATGGCGATCACAAAAGCAAGCCACCGGTGCCACCGGGGTCACCGGGGCTCTCACGTCAAAACCTGATCTGCATCGAAAGAAGTTGATGTTGTGCGTATGGTGGAACTATCGTGGATTCGTTTATTTTGAACTGCTCAAACCGGGTAAAACTGTCACAGCTGAAATTTACAGTGAGCAGTTGCGTGGATGTTTACAGCTAATTTTTACATATTCAAAATCAGCATAACCGATTCTAAAAGATGCCCTCGGGCACCAAACAATTCTGAACTTCTGAGCTGGTGTCATTCCCCTGGAAGAAGTCATTCCCCTGTCATTCCCCTGTAAGAGGTGTCATTCCCATATCAATAAACGATTTTTCGTTTCCCCTTCAACGTGAGCTTTATCCAAAGCAAATCCAAATCTAATCCAAATCCAAATCCAAATCCAAATCAAATCCAAATCAAATCCAAATCAAATCAAATCAAATCCAATCCAAATCAAATCCAAATCCAATCCAAATCCAATCCAAATCAAATCCAAATCCAATCCAAATCCAAATCCAAATCAAATCCAAATCTAATCCAAATCTAATCCAAATCCAAATCCAAATCAAATCAAATCCAAATCAAATCCAAATCAAACCAAATCCAAATCCAAATCAAATCCAAATCTAATCCAAATCAAATCAAATCCAAATCAAATCCAAATCAAATCCAAATCAAATCCAAATCTCGACATGACACTTCAAAATTCGGTTTTTGCATGATAATGCAAAATCGCACACGGCAACGATGACCCTTCAACAAATCGAAGAGATGGACTGGAAACTTCTACCACAAGCCCCATACAGCCCTGACTTAGCCCCATCAGACTACCACTTGTTCAGGTCTCCAAAGCAGTTCATCTCCGATCAGCTGTTCAAGGATTCCCAGGAAGTCGAAAATGCGGTCACCAAATCACCAAATATTTTTCGCTAAAAATTCCCCAGTTCTTTGAAAATGGAATTATTGAATTGAGCAAAAGATGGCATGATTTCCTAAATAATAATGGAGAATACCTTTTATATTAATCCTCTTTATTTATTGTTTTTTTTGAAATCAAAATTCGGGTCAAAAATTCGCGTTATTTTCCCGCCAACCTAATTGAGCTTAAATAGTTGAGCTTAAATCTCAAATTTCAAACTAAAACTCACGATATAACAAGCTTGAAAGTGTTTTGAGTGACTCCAACCGGGTAGACACGGCTCACTAAAGCTGGATGAGTTCGTAGTGCGTGTTTATTTGCTGTTTGTCTGCTGTTTGTCTACTGTTTGTCTGCTGTTTGTCTGCTGTTTGTCTGCTGTTTGTCTGCTGTTTGTCTGCTGTTTGTCTGCTGTTTGTCTGCTGTTTGTCTACTGTTTGTTTTGTTTCAAATGTTTTGCAGAAAAGTGTTTCCATTAAAGCTTTTGACAACAATTTCAAACCTTTTCGGTCGAGACACGAGATTGCTATTCAAGCATTTAGATCTGAAATCTCATAGAACTTTTTATTAATGGAGAGATAACGATATTTCCAAAAGCTCACTCCAAATGTTCAAAGTAAAATATGAGAAAGCCGAGGTAGATCGTGCATCCAATAGAGTACGAAAAGAGAATCAGCAAGAAGAGACGAGTCCAGCAATTTAAGAGGCTTTGTTTTTGCGGTTTTCTCAAATTTATGTTAATATAGAAATGAAAATGAATAAAAATACAGCTAAATAAAAATCCTGCTAAATAAAAATACAGCTAAATACAGCTAAATCCTCTTAAATAAAACTCCTCTTTAACTCACTTCTCTGAGGGAACTAATGCGACAGTTTGTGCAGGGTTTTGCATTAAAAAGTGACAAAATTTTTCGAATAACTGTTCAATATTAGACAACCTTTGACTCAAAAAGCAGATAGCGAAAAAGCATTTCTTTTTTTTTAGAGAATTGGTATCAATTTTGTGGCCTTTTTCAGAATAGATAAGACTTTAAAGAGTGAATCAATCTCAAGCACTTCTCCACTTCATGAATCAATTCAAGCACTTTTCCGTTGAGGCCTAAGTTCTCTGAATTATCCAAAAACATATAAAAACTTCTTTTTTGCTAACAAAGCTCACAAATAGAGTTTCTCAAAGCAAATCGTTCAAATCAAACCGTTCAAATCAAACCGTTCAAATTAAATCGTTCAAATCAAATAGTTCAAATCAAA